CCTCATCTATAAGATTTCAAGAAACTATCAAGAGATACCATTATCATCATCATCCTCATCATCCTCATCATCTCTACTTTCAACTATCTGCTCATCTAACTTATGAGTATGTTGCTTGATACTGACATTAACTTACAAGTGACTAAAGGTATAGGCTTGAGTAGATCATTATTAACAATGTCTATGTGGCTTGATCTGACTATGAAAAAAGTTATCAAAATGTCTTCAAATGGATGGATCCTATCTTAGTTTAGGTATGTGAAACACCTATTCATATTTGAACATGCTTCTGCATTTTCATAGTTTATATCAAAATGGGTGCCTAAGATAACACTTTCAAAATGGTATTTCACCTGCTTTATTTTAACAGCTTAAACTTTTAAATGAGTGTTTAAAACTAGAAAAACACCAAATGCAATGCCAATAATCTACTGTTATCCAGAAGCTTAAAATAAAGCAAGAAGCATAGCTCCTCTGGGGACCAAAAAGGCAATGTCACTATGAGATCATCATGTGCATCACACAAAGCTACATCTTTCTTCTGAAACCCTTTATTTCACAGGTATAGCAGGATACTTTTCTAGATTAATCTTCTAAACTTCCAGTGTTTTGTTTCCCTGAGCCTTCAAGCAGGTATTACAACCCATGCTGCAGTATGGCCCAGGGTCTAAGAAAAAAAGTCTTAATTTTTACTTTGGAAGAACCTGCCAAAGTGAAGACAATCAGAGGATAGATAAGAAGCAAATGCAAACATTACAGTGGGGTGATAAAATTCAACATATATGACAGGAGAATTTCTCCCAACTTAGGAAACAAATCATAACACATGCACATTTCTAGTCCTAAAAGAGGTCTGAGATACTCAACTGGAATGCTGATGTAAATAAAAACGGGAGGTGATAATCTAGAGGAGCAATGATAACCACTCATGGCTCAAAATGCAATAATCTCTTTTAATGTACAAGAGCGTACACTCTGATGTGAACTATATTTTGGGAGGAAAAGGGAGACTTTTGTTGAAAATGAATTAATGGATTGTTTATTCATGCTTTATATACTTCCTTTTTTATTAAAAAAAAAGAAGCTCAAATTAGGTTCCCACAACTAAGACATTTTCATTATGAGAAGTGCTATGTTGAAACTTTCACGAACCATCACACTTGTTTGGAAACAAATGACTTTTCAAGACAGAGAAGTATTACTATCAATCACCAACAAGTTAATTCTACATAATAAGGCAGGTTTGGATGCAAACTGATCCATTGTGGAATACTGTATCTAAAATTGATTACAACGGCACTCAAAATGAATGCCCCCCTCCAAACCACTTCTTTGCCCTAAAACATTAATCTCAATTAGAAGGAATGCTTCATAATGGCAATTCTTGGTATTAAAAAAGTATAAAAATAAATCAGGTTTTATAAGACACAACAATTAATCAGTTTTCAGACTAAGACTTTTTTCTCCCTCTTTTTTGGAGGCACAAAATTTCCATTAGGACTCTTAAAACAGCTGGTATCTCTAAAATTAGGTTTTAAATGTGTTCTAAAAGAAGCGTACAAGAAATGATTTTTTCCAACTTGGCTACTGAAACTTCCAAATAAGCTGTGTTATTGTGTTACCTCTTCAGGGCAAAGCTTCCTTCTGCAAGTGGGAGTTAAGTTCTTCCCTGGACTATCACAGCCCACTCATGAAACAAATACGAACACGGATTTCCACTGAAAACCCAAAGGAGCCATAACCAATTTCAGATGGCAGCAAACTCAGGGTTGCAAATCATTATGTTCTCAACCTTTGTAAAGAAAAGGATGCTCTCAGAGCTAAAACGGACACCTGACTGTCAAAGGAAACACCGAGTGGACCAGCTACATGTCTGCTTAACAGGTCTCCAAAGCCCAGCTTCAACAAAGGGGCAGACAATTCACACTGTTCCTGAACACCTTCACACCCAGATAGTACCTCTGTGACATTCTGCTACCACCCAGCATCCAAAAAACCAGGGAGAGCAACAAAGTTCAATAAAGAGGCAGTGCGCATAGATTAAAAACACCACTACTTATAACCTAAGGAAGTTGGTTGGGTGGCACTTTCATACAGAACATGATCACACGCTGGATTTATTTCTAGACTCCTCATTGCAGGTTAAGATAAACCTCAGTTTTCCCAAATGCAGTTCCACAGCTATTGCAAAAACATAATTTTCATGCCTACAGCCCACCACTGATTCAGGGCTTCTGACAGATTGCTCTGCTCACAGTGATAGCCACTCGGTTTTCCCTGGTCTCTTATTTGCTTGACTCTTTTCAAAGAGAGGCATTACTCTTAGTTCTCCAAAGCAAAGCTAAGAAAGATTAGCTTCAACCAGCTAATGGGATCATTCCCGTCTATCTCTGCCTCCCTTGCAAATACATGTAAAACTTTTGCTTATTTGGAAGCATTGTTTCTACTCAAAGGTAAGCATCCTTCTCTTCCTTTGTCCTCACCCTAATAAAGGAGGTTCCTTTTCTCAAACCAAAAGACTCATACAAGACCAGAGTAAGAAAAGCCTCCATACGTGACATCTTACATTTATTTCTAGAAAATACAGCTGCACAAAACAATTCCATTAAAAATAACTATCCACAAGTCTACTATAATCTGTTTTTTTAAAATAGTGAACTAATATTCATTAGAGCCAATATTCTTGACTCTGGGTAGCTAATTTTAATGTGATTGACAGGGGATTCTCATTATTTCCCAAATTCATAAATACTGGTATAGTTCCTGTCAAAATACATTTTCCAAAACCTGCTCAGTATATGTAAGATATATCACTGTCTTATTCAAAAGAATTACTTTTTAATAATATTATACATTATTTTAAGTTATTTAAGATAAATATTTCCTGCAATTAAAGCATACTTTTTAAAAGAAAAGTATCAAAATTTCTCATTTTAAAAGGTAAGAGTGTTAAGGAAAATGCAACAGGAAGAGAGAAGCACACAGTTCTGAAATATACACTAGAATAACTAATGTCATTATAAACCCCTGGCTTTGAAGAATTTAGGAATAATTTGTGAATGCCATGACATTTTACAGTGGGATTAGCAAGTCTTATTACCGAACTAACCTCTCTTACTCTTACATAAAGAATTAAATATTTGCTCTGAATTTAGAATCAAAAATCGAAACTTCCAAGGTTCCTACAAGAACTTCATATATTAACAAATATAAACCAGAAGTTTGGGGTCCTAAAAGTGTACCCTGGAACACACAAGGTAAGACTACTGAACTATGCATAAAATAGGCTTTAACATTACAATCTATAATAAATTATAATTATACAGTTATTCCTAATTCTAAACTCTGATCCTAATTCTAGAAAGACTACAAATATTTCTGTCAAACAGGTATGGGGTTATGCACCATATTTTAAAGACAGAGGAAATCAATTCATTCCGGTTAAGCTATAATACTACTTTAAGGGGTCCTTCTTCAAGATTTCCAAAGGTGCCAGCTATCTTCCCTATTCTCATTTATCTCCCCGCTCTCTCGTCTGTCTGTCTATCTATCTATCTATCTATCTATCTATCTATCTATCTACCTATCTATCTATCCATCTATCTATCATCTATCTATCTACGATCTCTTTTTCTTTCTTTCCAACCTGACCACAGAAGACCAAGGTAATGCCTACACATATTGCTTTTCCTAATGAAAAGACCACCCAGTGGATTCTGCCAGAGTCTACAAATGTTTGACAAATAAGAAGCCAGAGTAAGAGTATTATTGAGGGAGATTCCTGGTCTCTGGTAGCTCAGCTGCCTGGGGCCCTAGAAAAAGTGCCAGGTCAGTTCTCAGGATTTCATGGCCATTCCATCTACTCCAAAGTCCTGAGAACTTTTCTCTAGCTTAGAATCCTGAAGACTTCAGAAAACAAATTCCCTCGCTGGATTATTACCCCATGGAGTTAGTCGCTACCGTTTCTCCATGATAATAATTAACAAGGTAACCTCTCCACCTGTCCTACCAGAGAGCCACCACGAAGGGAAGCAAACATCACACATCATTTGCCCCAAACTGAAACATCTGAAACCCCCTTTAATCGGTTGTGAAACACGACAGTAACTTGAAGTGAGTAGCAGGCTCGTCCATCCGTATTTTTTTTTTTTTTTTTTTTTTTTTTTTAGTGCCCTGGTCAGGGTATGTTTTGTTTGCCTCCAATCCCCAATCCCATCCAGAGTTTCCAGATCAAGTTTCAGCCGAGATCACCACTCCTCTGGGCACCCTCAGCCCCTAGTTCTTCCACTCCTTGGCAACTTAGCTGCCTGGCTGTTGGTGAAGCCTCCTCTCCACTTCCCGGGCAAATGCTGACATCCCAAGGCTTCCAGCTCTCAGGAAGTCCCACTGGAACGCCTCCTTCCCAGAGAACCAGAGACTTCGTCCCCAAACTGGGTAGCACCCCAAGAAAGAGCGAGGTCATCTACACTCCCTGCCCCTAATGGCTCCCGGGAACCACCTTCCTGGGGGAACCCGGGAAGTCCAGAGTTCCTGAAACCCTGCCCGGCTGCCAGGTGGGAGGCACCGCGAAGTTCCCACCTGAGCAGGCAGTCAGGGGTGGTAGACGCCAGGGAGGGGCGGGGACCCGAGGCCGGAACCCGGGACGCCTCAGCTCCCGCCGAGAGTCTGCGAGCTGGGATGCTCTGCCTCCTGCAGGGCTGGCCAACTCGCAGCGGCCCCTCGGAGCGGTGGTTGGTTCGTGGAGGGAAACGCGCGTCCCCGCTCGCTCCCCGCCCGCTCGCCCGAACCCAGGCCCGGGCGCTAGGACCCCAGAAAGGAAAGAGGGCGCACGGCGCCGCCGCACTTACCGCGCTCCGCTCGCCCGCGCCGCCCGCTCGCTACCCGACCACCGCCGCCGCGTCCGCCCCTGCGCTCGCCCCGGCCAAATTCAAAGGCGCCGGGCGCGGGGGAGGGGGACCGAGGAGGAGAGGGGAGGGAGGGGGGGGATGCAAGTGTTACAACTTCCTCCGCTGCCCACAGCCCGGCTGCCCGGGGACGCGGCGAGGGGAGGGAAGCGCGCGGGCGCCAATGAGTTCACTTTCTTTTTCTCCCCCGCGCGCTCCCCCTCGCGCTTCCCGCCGGGCCCCTCCAGCCTCCTCCACCGGCCCGAGTCCTCGCTTCTCGGCCGGGGGAGTGGGAGGATGGAGGAGGCAAGGGAGGAGGGAGAGAAGGGAAAGGTGAGCAGGCGAGCAGGGCGCCGTGCCAGGGAGCAGCATCCAGGACCGTAATTGTGGGCAAGGGTGGGGGACGTTCTGGGCTAGTGTGCCCGAGACCAGGCGCGTACACGTGTGTGTGTGTGTGTGTGTGTGTGTGTGTGTGTGTGTGTGTGTGTGTGTGTGTGTGTGTGTGTGTGTGTGTGTAAGAGAGAGGAGCCGAGCCTACCATGCGCTTCCCTGGTGCGGATCGCGGGAGAGCCCAATCACAGGGCGAGCTGGACCTCGCCGTGATCATTTATAATCCTTGACTCCTCCGCTACGCCACTTGTCAAGATGACAGGTACTTTATTTCTTCTTCTTCTTTATTCAAAAGATGAGATTCCCGGTTTTCTGCTTTTTTTCGCTGTCAAATGGGATTTGCCGGACTGAACCACGTCCACGCCGCCGCCCCTCCCTCCATCCCTCCTCCCAGCCACGCTGGGTACGAGGAAAGCACCGAGGCTCCCATGCTGTGACCAATCAGTGTATCTACTACTCTCGCCGTGATTTAGGGGTCATCCATGAATAACACTTCATGCTGATGAATGGCTCTTGCTGGCTTTCGGCTCTGATGAGGGGTCTGCCGGCCGCTGATTGCAAACACTAATGAACTTACAGCGCCATTTGAAATTCACACGCACCAACAAAGTGCGGGGTACGTGCGTGGGAGTCTGTCCTTTTCTTCTCCGGGTGACCGGGAGGAAGACCTGGGGGAAAGGGGCGGGTAATTGCCTTGGACTTAAGTGGAAACACTTCTCTGTGTAATCAAACCTCTAACCTTCTTAGAAAACTACTTTTCTTGATCTTCCATAGGGTGGGCATTTCGGGTCAGCTGAGTCACCCGAGGAGGCGGGAGTGCAAGACGCTGCCGGGGAAGATGGATTCCTAGACAGAAGGGTGTAATTAAGGATTGCCACCCCCGGTAGGCGGCCAGTCCTTCACAGAGCCTTTCGAAAATGACCTGCATCTTTCCTTCTAGGAGTGTCCTCTTGTCGGAGACCGAAAAGCTCAAATGACCTTCGGACTCCGGCAGGCAGGGGAGGGCGGCACTGAACACTCAGACTTCCCCAGAAGCCCCAGCTCTGCTCAGTTTAGAACAAGTGTCCGCTCCCAATCCCCCCACCCCCACCCCGGGTTCAAGTACCTGGACCTCCAGCCGGTACCCACTGTCAGGGACACACTGAGCAAACCACCAGCACCACCCCCTTGTCTCTCCTTTCTTCCCTCAGATTAGCAGCCCAACACTGCCCCTGCTACACAACTTGGTTTGCAGTGGGAGCGGAAAAAGTTTACCGCCCTCCAGGCCACTTTGTAAGTTTGCGCCAAAATTCAACTGGGGTTGGGAAGGGGGGGGGTGGGAATCTCCAGCCTCAGGCCCCGCCCCCGCCCTCACCCCTGGCAACGGAAAGCCCACCCTAGGAGTCTTTTTTAATCACTCGAAGCTCCGGTTGTTCGAATTTCTCCAAATCTAGGACCTTTGCCGAGCCGCTTTCTGGCTCCCTGCCTTCTGCTACCTCCGGGCACCTTTCTGTCTGCGGTAGGCATGGGTCGTGCGCCTTGGAGTGGACAAGTGAGCCTGACTCCTTGAGGAGGAGCTCCTGGTCGGTTCCTGAGAACCAGGTCCCGGGTCCCAGGTCCCAGCCTGGGCCACCGGTGCAACTGGGAGTCCCCAGGCCTGCCCAGAGAGGTTGCCAACCAGTCAGTTCCCTGCAGCTGGCAGAGGGAACAGACTCCAGCCAAGCCCTTGGCCCCCACCTTCCTCTGCGAAGGAACTTCAAAACAGAGGACTCCACCAATCTGTACCTAATTTGTCTTGGCCTGAATCAAAGACGTTTGTATTTCTAAGGTTCAAACGAACAAATCTAGCAATCGGGTAAACAGGGAAAAGCCTGAACCTTTCTGATATTTTCCCAAAGTTTAGCGTGGAACTCACAGGGATTCGTGAACACAAACTAGAGCGTCCAAGCCCAAAGTTTGAGTTCCCATGAAGCTAAGCCCATGAGTGCTAGTATGGGCTTTGTAAAGTCTTAGCAATAAGTGAATCGACCTGTTTCTATGAGCATTAATGACCCACTGGCACATCTTTCTGGAACAATCTAGAGTTACACCAGGATGGCACAGCCTCTTTACTGCCACATGAATTTCACACTTCAAAAAGGCTAAGGCAGCAGACTCATGAATTACACAGTCCTGTCTTCATTATCGTAACAAGTTTGTCACTTCTGAATGCATGGCTCTAGATATTACAAGAAAATCAAGTAAACTCTCTCCAAATTAACATCCTTGACATGACCATAAGGAAAATCCGAGGATGTTTTAGGAATCACCTTGTAGCTCAGTTTCCACAAAAACATTGTGAGTGCAACTTTTATAATTGGCCAAGAAGCAAAACCCCTCTCTTTTTCTTACATATGTTGGTATCCCGAGTACACAACAAAGACACACTATCCCAACCAGGAAGATGCCAAACATAATAGCTGCAGTGCAGGGGCAGTGTTTACTTCAGCTTTTTTTTTCCTGAAAAGTCTCATTAAGGCTAACACTGCTGATAAATGGGGAAAGGAATTAAGGAGGTCATACAATGTAGAAATGGTAGTAAATCTTGGAGACTGTCTCTAGCCCACTTTCCTATTAAGTGATGTTTAAAGTTTTTCATATTGCTGAACCTTCACACTAAGTGGACACACACACAGACACACAGACACACACACACCTCTAGAACTCATCACTATTGGTCTCTCTGCTTAGTGCCAAGCTTTGCTGGTGGATAGAGCATACAGGTGAAGGTCAGCATTTGTCTGCTTCTGCAGGGGCTCAGCCTGTAAGTCACATAGTGTGTATGTAACACCTCTCCTCTCTTGTCCCCTCCTCTCCCCTCCCCTCATTCCCCTTTCTCCTGTCTTCTACATCCCCTCCCCCTTCCTCTCCTCCCCTAGTCTCCTTTCTTACTCCTCTTCTCTACCCTGTCTCCCTCCCCCCCCCCCCCCCCGCAGGCACACACATACCACTCCTCAGAAGTCCCATCATTTGAGCCCCTTAGGAAATGGTGGTTGGCAAACCTAAGCTGTACCAGGGCTTCTTGCTCCAAATGCATCCCTGGAAAGCAGTGAAGCTGCTCGATATGTGACCATCCCCACTCTGCCTTGTGGCTGAGCTGCTGTCGGGGGAGGGAAGGATGGTGAATAGCTCACTTTGGCAGCAGTAAAAACTGGAGTAGCAGAAAGAATACAAGTTGTTGCTGCCTGTGTTGCCCTGCGCGACTAGGAGACTTTGTAGTCTTAGCACAGCTGGTCTGACCCCTGTGTGGGATGATGACAAGAAGCTGGCTGCATTGATCTCCTTCCCTGAGTCTCCCCCTGTTTCCTGTGTCCTTAGCAAGGATTTAAAAGTGCTAGGAACATCTAGGTTCCCTTTGGGGTTAGGTAGGATGCACCTGGGCCATCAGAATTGGACCAGGGTACTAAAAACCAGTCTCTTGACCAGATGCTGAGCAAACAGCCCTCTTCTCTGATGTTCCACTCCCCCACCCATGCCAACCTCTGCCACTTGGCTGTGGACACGTAAGGGGACGCTTGCCATTTCTGGAGAAGGCTGTCTGCTTTCTCTTGTCCAGAGACCCAGCTTGGAGCTAAGGGACTGAGTGCAAGCTGTTCCCACCTTCCTCAGATGGGGAGCAGATGTCCTCAGAGCCCAGAGCCCACTTTCTTTTGACCTGAAAATCTTTCAAGCCTGCAGAAGGGGAGCACTGAGTCAGGCAGGTGTGGGCTTTTCTCTAGAGAGTGTAGACGTAGCTCTGATTTGAAGGTATTCTCTGGACTTAGTCTTTCTGCTTTAACCATGAAGACCCCACTACCAGGCTCAGGCCAAATTGCTGAGATCTGACACATCTCCCAGGTAAGGGATTCCAGACACTCAAAAGCTGGCAGGAAGGACACTGACATCTAAACCTCAGACCCTAGAGCAACCAACCTAACCCTTGACAAGTCCAGGAAAGCCACTAATCCAAAGATCTCCCCCAAGGTGTTACATCTTCACCAGAATAAGGAGCAAGAGACCTGATAGACCATGAGGTCACTAAAGGCTGGTGGTCACCGAGAAGATGGTGAGGTACGTAAAGTTTTCCTCAGTCACTTTGAAGCTGGCAAATCACTGTATAATAATTCACAGCACCACAACTTAGACTTGATCCACAAGAGTCTGAAGTAGCCATCAAGGCTCTCAGGCTCTCCACTGACAAAAATAACATTTTTCCCTTTTTGTCATCTTCTCCAGGGAAAACTAAAACAAATACTTACATTTGATCAAAGTTTGTAGTAGAAAATATGCCTCCATTACCATTACTTTAATTAACGCAATGCAGGTTCCTCTCAGTGGTCCCATTGTGGGGCCATGGAGTGGGCTGGTAATGAGATACCATATCCTTTAAATTGGACCTTGCCTTCCCAGCACACTACTTTGTGTTGGTGAGTTGAGTAAACAGAGCTTCTGGTAACTTCCATCTTTGGTATGGAGTACAGGTGTGAGGCAGACCTCTAACTGCAATACAGTTTTGCTAAGGCAACACAGAAGATGCCAAGGTCTATGACAGATTCTCAACACCAAACCATCTTTTTAAACATGAAGCACTCCTGGTTTTCCTTGCACTGCATACAATGTTGAACATATAATTTTACATGGAAAGAGGGACTCTTTATAATGAATGGTTATCAGGAAATCCCTTTTAAACTTGTTATCGAATGTATGAGTTTTAGTAGGTAGTCAATATAGTGTGTTGTTGGTAGGCACTCAGTCAAGCTTATGCATTAATGACATGGAAGGACAGTTTTGTTATGAAAACCACATCCTCTAGCTATATCATAGTCTGCTTTATGAATTAATTTGTAACTATAGACTAAACTATAGGTATTGAAGTTAGTATACTTGACTAGACTATGAGCTGAATGCCTTTCCAAGAAGCAGCTCATCTCTTTCTCCTCCTATTGGTGCCTCTTTAGCCTGGAATAACCTTGATCCCAGAATGCCTTGGTTTTAAAGCCCTGGTTAATGCTATTCTGCCCAACAGGGTTCCCACTGTACTTTCTGTGTGTGCCAGTGATGGTCCTTCCCTGTTTGTTGTAGAATTTCATAGCAGTATGGACATGACTTTAGTCATCTTAATCCACAGGTCCTAGCTCCTGGACAAGCCTGTAGATCACATTGAATAAATGCTTAACTAATGGGTAGATACAAGATTAAAATGTCTTTTATTACATCAAATCATTCTGACTTTCTTTTTAAAAATTGTATGCCATAAAATAAATTTAGCCTGAAAAATGTATCTATTAAGTATCTATTTCTCTGCTTCTCTGGCGGGTTGTCTTTCATGATACATAGTTAGGAAATGCTAGTCACTATAGGGACTCACCTCTCAAGTAACTTCTTTTTCTTCAGAAACATAAGCAAAGACAAAAATAATAGGAAAAGCAAAGAGTAAATTTCACATCTCTCCCTTGCAGGAAAATGTAGTATTTACTGAAAACTGGGGGAGAAAGGTCATAAGCTTCATACCTAGGAGATAATCTTAAGTATTTTATATTAAAAGTGACATTGTTATAACACCTTTATTGCCCTTGGACTTTTAATGGTCAGAAGTATAAAGCTTATGGTGACTACTTTGCATTTCTTCAAGACAAGGTTTCAGCTGGTATTGGGGAAACAATATCGTTTGTTCCTGTCTTCTCAGGATGACTGTTTCTAATTGATCTGGCATGGAATTTAGTTGGAGATGTATTTGTGGCAACCACAGCACAGAGCCTGTGAGCTTTGTAAAGTGATAACCATATGGGCCTTATTTGAAACATTTGAGGATTTTTCAACATTAACCTGGGTTAAATTGAACTAGAAATCCAACTCAAATATATACCTCTGTGCTGACAAATTCATCATCGCGTTGGATAGACTCAACCCATGCTCCTCTCAGATTAATAAAGATGATGGCCGTGGATCACACACGCAAAGGTTCTCAGCGATAAAGTACCACCATGTTATATGTTGCACTGTTTAAATGCAAATTGCACACATTAAGCAGGTATTTCCTACTGCTATTATTTTCAACAGAATGGAAATGTTTTAAAAAATTATCTCTCGGTAAAGAAAAGGGATATACAGTAAAATCTATTTCCTCTTACACCATGTCCAAGTACAGGCTGCTATCCTCAAGAAGATTTAATTAAGCCAGCTCAGTTGAACTAGGAAGCAAAGTGGCTGCAAAGTTATTGCTTATGGAAACACATTCAGGACATATGCACAAATAATGTATTTACTGTTCTTCATTTAGGGATTTGAGCCACCAGGAAGGTTAGGAAAATGCAACATAATTCTGTAGCCTCCTTCCCCTCTTCCTGAATATCACATTTCGAGCTGACACTTTGTTACAGACAATAGTGCTAAGTTCTGGATGTTGATGGCCCTTTCCGTGGAGCTTTCAAATGCCTGGAAAAAGATACAGTTTCTTTAATTAAAAAGGCTGCACAGAACTAATCCCTCCAGCTGAAGAAAGAAAAGTTTTAAGCAATCTTTTCTGCTCCGAGAGAGAAAGGCAGACAATACCATAACAGATCAGAAACATAAGCTATAGTGTGCAGCCAGGAGCACAGCAGGGAACTGAATACCGCTCCGACTGTGTCATTTTTTAATCCCCCATCCCAGTTTTCCCCGTCTGACCTCATGCTGAGATGAAGTTATCACAGAAGACAGCTTTACCCTCACCAATGAATCCAACCCTGGATCTGTATTATCCTCAGCAGATCAAAACGCCGCTTTCATCAAATGGCATTATCTGCATAAAAGGCATGCAATTGCCCGATAATTTCACCCAAACTACACTATTCATTTAAAGGACAAGAAGAGAAATTAATTCATTCCTTTTGGGAGGTGGCCGAGAAAAGTGAGTCTCCGGGAGAGGCGGAGGCTGCAAAAGCTGACTTACCCTCTGCGCGCTCATGGGAACTTTTCTGTTTCTAACACAACACCCCGAGAAGGGGCCCGTTTAAAAGTCCCCCCTCACTCCTGTGCTTCGCGATGAATTGTTGGAACAATTTGGTGCAGTTTGAGTGACAAAAGTGTAAGCAGCGTAGAAAACTGGCAGTGGGAAATTACAAAGCTTGCTGATGTCATTAGCCATGCTTCCCTGAACCCCAATAAAAACATCATATCTAGTAAAATTGAAGGGGCATAAGAATTAGCTGGGCAAGCGGATGAGGTTTAACACCGTGTCATACTGGGATGGGAGCTCTCTTGCTGGAAGGTCTTTCTGTAAAGTCCCAAGAAGTTTGGATTTTTATTGTAGGGAGAGGACTATTGAACACCTTTGAGTTGATACTTAGTAGAACATTTAAAAACTCTTAAGAGCAACATTAACTTTATTTTTCAAAGAAAACCCACAACATTGAAGCTTTCTTTGGTTTTTCTTTCCCACAGTTCAAACTGTGCAATCCTTTGCATCATGGATCATAGAAGCTGCTATCATGGACTCCCCTCTATAATGGAGGCCAACTTTTTACTGAGCGACATTAGTTGTTTTATTCAAAGTACCATGATAGGTTAGAGCAGTCAGACAAAGCCACTGGTGTCAAGTGAGTGGAATTATGAAGAAGCAATAAAACCATGGATGCGGGTGACCTCTAATGCATATGTTAATGTCCTAATAGTATTACTCACCATAATTTTTAATGATTTAGCTTAAGAATTAACCCTTAATTTACTATGTAAACTGACACTGCAAGACATCCAACCTAATCCTACTCTCCCATCTCTTACACCACATCTATATGCAAAAATAAAATAAAATGTCCAGGACAAACATTTACAATACCAACGAGAACATGTCATACCACAGCCTAGGAATAGTCCTGACTATCCTAAGACAGGTACAGGAATACTACTTTTACTGTTGAAAGAAAGACTCTGGTGCTACTACCAATTCATCTG